CGATAGGACGAGCTCGACCGTGTAGGCATGTTAAGGTACGGACATGGCCTCCAAACATTAATGTCGGTAAGTTGTTTTTCATTTCTCAAGAAGAACCTTAGCCCGACAGGGACACCTCAATCGAGCTCTACTATTGAAGTACCCAACAGGCAGAACACCCAGCTCACGATGGGCAGTTCACGCCACGAGCTTAAGATCCCGACCGCGATCTTGAGCTAGTTCCAAGGATCCCTACTCCACTCCTCGACACATCCCAACATGTGTTGTCCATAACCAAGGTTGAGCATAAACCTCCACTCATGAAAATCACAATTTTTCACAAAATAAACAAGTAAAAAAAAACGACGAACAAATAGCTAGCAAACATTCAAAAACAACGACAAACATATAGCTAACAAACATAAACGAAAATGTAAAGACATATAAACAAAGTAGAAACATTTATAAATGTCGACACGGAGGCCGACGTTGTCTGAATATTACAATAAGTATAGGAACGCAGGCCCCAAATATAAACAACCAAAATATCATAGAAATACTAATCACTCCGCGAGTGCTCACTTCGACCTCCACCTCGGGGGAATCAGGAGGAGGAACCACCCGACCATCAATCACTTGGGACAATACCTCGACACCATCAATGTTGAGCCCCAGATTCAACACAGACAATTAGGTTGGTGTAATCTTAAAGTCGTTTGTCAAAGCATCAATACAATCCGACTCGAGGATCTGGATCCGAGCAATTAGCTCTGCCCGGGAATGAAAGTCAGCGACTCCTTTAGGTTCTCCGTCCACAGGAAAATGGAGGCCTTTAAATCGGTGACCTCCTTTTCCAACTGTTCCCTCTCGAGCAACAGGGAATCCCTTTCCTCATAAGCTTTGGCAGTTTTCTCCTTCTCCCTCATTAACTCGTCAGCCTGCACCTGTAACTTCTCCTCGCGCCACTCGAGGGCACTTTTTAACTTTTGTGTCTTCACCTGAAGAGTCGCCTTCTATGACTCCAATTCCCTTACCAGTATAGAAGAGCCAACTTATTCACCTGCAAGGACAATGACCATCTTCGTGACCTTCATCAAACCAACCATGCTGGAAGCCAGGTGCTTCCTTCGACCCTCCTCATCGAGGAGTCAGATAATGTTAGACTTAGCATCAGACACAATCATAGGGAGACCCTATAAGAAATACTTTTCCATAAAACAAGGGGGAAGGTTGAAGGCCCGGGCAGTCACCTCTCCTCGACCACACTTGCAAGTCCACCTTCGAGACGACTTATCTTCTTGCTCAACACAACTGCGTACTGTACGGCGTTGTGGGAACCCGATGTCATGTCCTTCCCTTGTGACACACCTCGAGGGATAGAACCCACTGATGAATTGGTTAAGGACACCGAATGACTCTTCATCCTCGACACTCATACTACCGACATGGGTGTGGTAATGGCCAGGACTATGCACTTAGTGGCACGAACACCAATGGATAGGGAATTTCGAAAGTCGCCCAATCTCTAGATTGCCCTCCTCTTCATAGCATACCTCCTAGTCTTCATTTACTACTTGAACTGGGTCAAACACATCATCCACGACCGCCTGAGACGAAGGTTGCACGACGTACCATATATCCTTGAAGTCGCGAACAAAATCCATGTACGTCTTAAACAGTCTCTTGGACTATTTCAAGGAAACCCAACTATGTTTCCCACCCCTATATTGCCGTTGGAGGTGGAAAACCCTGAAGAATAGAGGAATAGTCGCCCCGATCCTTAGGAACCGACAAGTGATTTCAAAATCCCGAAGGAAGGCGATCGCATTAGGATGTAACTGAGAGAGTTCCAAGCTCAAATGGTTAAACACGCCCATATGGAAATCATTAAAGGGAAAAAGAAGCCCTAAGTCTTTGAATACAACCTCATACATATGGAAGCGATCCTCCTAAAATTCCATGCATATCCTGGTCGTGGAAGTCGGTCGTAGGATTGTGAAGTTCCGAAGAAAACCTTCCATATCACTGCCATGCTCGACAGTGGTATATGCTTCTCTTCTACTATAACTATAGGTTCTGGCCCGACCCAGGACAACGCAGGGTCATCGATCGTGTCGACCAAATGGAGCCCTTCCTCGACTGTACTTGTCTCTTCGACATCTATGTGCTCGGACGATTTCAGAGTACCGTTCATTTCACCTGTAAAGCAGAGGAAACCAATGAATTTGACAGCAAATCACATCCACCCTTCACCGAAGCACGAGTGGAAGGGGATAGCTACGCCTAGACTAGGTCGATGATCACTCGCACAATGGAGAACATACATGGCCCATGATTAACACATGGAATTTATACAAATCTCATAAGAATACTCAGCAATGATAATAACAAAATGCACATTTCATGGGTAACGTGGGCACATGACAAATATCGCGAGCATCTCCACAAATGCTGAGAAGAACATATGAATTTGCTGGAAAAATTCATGAATTCACCGGGGAGTATATAAATTCCTCATGTAGGACTCATGAATCTCGTGGGGAACAGAAGAATGTCACGGGTATTTTCATGAATTTCACGGTGAAGAAATGAATATCACGAGCCCACTCATAAATGCTACGCATGAACGACCCGAGCAACCCCCCCCCCCCCCCCCCCCCCCCCCCCCCCCCCCGGTGACGAAATTCTATAAGGAATCATCAATAAAGCCAATCATAAACAACATTCAATGTGGAAATCACTTACTTAATCAAGAGTAGATGGAAAATCCGCGGCGGGTCTTACGGTAAAATTGATGATGGGAAGACAGAAGCGGTACAGGCGTCCGAGAAAGTGAGAAAGCAAAATTTGAAATATGGGAAATGGGACTAGTCCACTATATATAGGGATGGCGTGGAATACGAAGCGGCGCATCAGGTAGACCATCAACTGCCTTTCTCCTCGCCACCTACGCGCTCAGTAAACGATCCCCGCGTGAAGTTATGCTCGCCATAAGGAGAAGTTGGACTTAAGTCATAACTCCTTCATCATGAGCAATAACTTGGGGCTCCTGTTCTGGACTGGGCCTGCACTTGGCCCAACTTCATACGAGGCCCAATCCAACTATGTTACTCGAGGAGGCCTGCTGACTGAGTCTACCCTTAACTATGTCAGGCAGTAACCCCACCCTTCGTGAAAACACGGCTATGCCGTACAGGGATAAATCCAATAATCGCGAGGAGGCTTATCGTCGGTCAGGAGGACCTCGCGAGCATCCTCCATTCTTCTTGTCAACCAAGGAAAGCCCTCTTGGACAACCTCACAGCTGGCGAGAAGGGCCCACGATGATGTAAGGTCACCGCAAACCTCCTCCTCGTAGGGTTGACTCATCACACCCCCGAATATCACAAAGTCCTCTTGCTCCCGAAAAGACCACATCCATATCCTCTGACTATTCGGGGGAGTCCATCTAGGTTGGGGACCACGTGCTGACCCCACTACGCACGTAGAACCTGACAGTCTCCATTTTGGGCCTGCTTGCCCAACCTAACGATGGGGACCTTGGCCCAGCGTTAGGGGCTATAAATACCCTCTCTCTTGAGAGGGTCAGGTATTCATTCTTTCATACTCATTCTCATAATTGCTCGCACTACTCTGAACCTTACTTTGGAATCCGAGTGTCTTACAGGTACCCCTTAACTCACTTCCAGTTGCTGCTCAACTCACCTCTCATAGGCCTTAACGATCCACTCTGGTCAGGTATGATCACAATGAGAGCGACGCCTTTATCTCAATTCTAATTAAGTTACATCATTGATAAACAATAATTAAATAAAAAACAATAAAGTCCTATGGGGAGGATGCATCGAGAGAGAAGTTGTGATCTCAATTCTAATTGAGTGACTCATCGATCAATGATAAATAAAGGAAAGCAATAAAGTCCTACATGGAGTATAGCATAAAGCACAAAGTAAGCAACCAAAATTAAGTCTCAAATGCGTAACAAAGTATCAAGATAACAATTGCGCAAGTGCACGCATAAAAATTTCCTACTTCAAGGTAGGATTTTAAGTAAACAGAAATTGCCTACTTCGAGGTAGGTCTTTAAACAATCAGAAATCGACTACTTTAAGGTAGGTATTTAAATAAGCAGAAATCACCCACTTCAAGGTAGGTCTTTACATAAACAAAAATGCCACGAACATGGTTTCGCAATGCCTACAGGGGTAGGTCTTCAGCCATGCATCTCTATCCTACTTCCCATGACAAGATTAATTAAAAACAATCCAATAATGATGAAGTAAAAAAAGAGCTACGATGATACCTAACGAAGAAAGTTTGTCGCTTCTTCAAAGCCGCACAAGCAATAAGAAAACTCTTTCGGGGCCTCCTTGAAGTTCCTTAATGAAGATTAGGTTCTTAACTTGATTTGAAACCTCTTGAAAAATTTCAACAATCCTCACACCAAAATCGTGCCAACATGTATCATGGATCGAACATATTATGATACACAAGTGGCATCAAGATATCTCAAATAACAATCCAAAAATTAACATAATAATTGATCATAAAAATTTCTAACTAATTTATTAAAATCCCAAACATTTCCCACTATTTTATTTATTTATTTTTATCTTAAAAATCCTGCCAAGAAAACAAAATAATTCTAAACAGAGGGGGTGTATAATCTGAAACTAGGTGTTTAGCTCAGAAACAATTGCTCAAAAGCCCAACGAAGGAGATCCACAAACCCTGTTTTTGTTACACTTGATTTCCCAAAATAAACAAGGGGCATTTCGGCCCAACCCATACATAATCACTAACATTCAATTAATCTCAAGAATTAATACATTAAATCATTCTTATAAAAAAAACTATACACTATTTCATCTTATTATCATTATTAAAATATTGACTATACAAAAATGGGAAAGGGATTAAGTGAAAAACGCAACTAATGGGAAAGGATATAGGGTTCTGAGATTGACATTCAGACTCCTTCTTGTTCAACGAATCGCGACGAATCGCATCGCTCTACTGCTTCAGCCGTCGTCACCTCCGCCTCTTACACCATTCAACCTCGTCACTTTGACCTCAACCCCTAGCCGCGGTCTCATCACCACCATCTTCTTCTTTTTTCGACCGTCCTTCTGTCGATCCCTAGCGCCGGCGCCTCCGTCTCTCACTTTTCCATCATCATCATCATCATCATCATCAATCGCGTCCCCTTCTCATTCTTTACCTTCAACATTAATAGAAGACATAGAAGGAGAGAAGGAATAATGCTTACCGACCGGAGAAAACATCTGGTACTTCTTCGATGTCGGTGACAAACAACAAAAATCTAGAGAAGGTATTCAGGTAAACTTGCGATTATTTCGTTTCTTCTTTTCGATTCGCACCTCCTCTTCTACTTCTGTATATTGCTGTTGTTGATGCCAAGAAATTGCAGTTCTGACGTTGTGATGTTGATGCGAAATGCATAGAATTCAGTTTTGGAATGAAGATTGATTGAAGATGTTGATGAAAAGTGTATGTTGAAGATGAACGTTAATGCTGATTGTTGCAAATTCGATGAAGAGTCAAGAATCGGTGGTGAAGATGTTACCGTAGATTGAAGAATGAAAGGTGAAGATTCCTGATGGATTGGGAGAAAATTCTATGAGGATTTTCTTGGTGAATCTTCCGATGAAGAATGATGAAGATGAAGTTTTGAGAAAGTCGAGAGAAAATTCTTTTTGGTAAGTTTCTTTTGTAGTTTTTCTCTGAAGAAAAAATAATTGTATCTTTGTGTGTGTATTGATGAATGAATAATCATGATCCCTCTTTCTCTCTGTTCTATCTGTTGTATAGATTGTTGAAGGTCGATGAAAACAGTTAGAAGGTTAGTTGGTTGAAACTTTCTATTAGAAGTTAGTTTGTTGTAACTGTTTTGGGTTGGTTATTGAAAGTTAGTTATGGACAGGTAAGCACTAGGGTTGTTAGTTGAAGTGAGTTAGATTTGGTTAAGCTAAACTGGTTAAATAATTTTCTTCTGAACTTCTAATAAAAAAACTTTCCTCTGATTTAATTACCTGATTTGTTGATTTTTACTTCCTTTTGTTCACACAGTACAGGGCACGGTCTTGAGAGGAACCGATTTAGCAAGCTGTTTTTGGTTTTTATGTGAGTTAGCCGGACTGGTTTATTGCAGGACAAGGTGTTCTTTATTAATCGATGGACTGATTTTGTGATTGTTTTGTATACTTGGTTGATGCAGGGAGCAGCCTGAACCGAATTGAAGCAAGGTCATATGTTATGTGCAGCAAAAATTTGGATGGAGATTGAGCACCACATGGAGGATTTTATTATAGCTTGGAATCGGCAATGCAAAGATCATGAGGCTTTTAGAACCTAGAAATTTTAAGATTATATAATTTGGTATGATGTTGAATGTATGAGATTTTTTATAATAAGACCTAGAGGAGGTTTATTTGATGATGAATGACGAATCAAACAACTGGGAGAATAGAGGGATACGACATCATAAGACTTTGAGCACGAGCTCGTACCCATTTGAGATAAGGCTCAAGAGGGATGGAATTCTTATGCCCCAGTGTCTTGCTATCAACTCCATGTACCATGCCCTAAGCTCTCATGAACCTCTTGCGGAAATCCCGAGCATCATTCTCGTAGTCGAAAATGATTCCTTGAATAAGTGCATCATAAGGACCATCCCTTCTTGCGTATCCAAACTGTCGTAGCGCCAAACAAGGATTGTAAGTGATTCCTCCCCTAATGCCTAAGATAGGGACATTAAGGAATTCACCACAGAGATCGGTAATGGTAACATTCTCCGAGGACCGGGGACACCAATGAATGCCTGAATATGTAAGAGTCATCAGCCTTTAAGACCATCTCAAACCTTGTTCATTCTTCGAGACGGATCAGGGTAGGTGCAAAATAAACCACCTAGCCAAAAGAGGTGTGCAACACAGAAGGGTTTCTCTCCTCTTTATGGTGCGAGTATGCAATGAATGTAGGATATCTCCAAGCATATTTAGTACTGGGTTACATGACAGGAAAATCTTAACCGCATTCACGTCTATGAGCTGGTCCGGATTAGGAAACAATACCAAACCATATATGATAAGGGCTAACACCTCTTAAAAATCTTGTAAGTCCAAGGTATCCCAAAAATGGTGAGCTTTCTCGAACCAGAACTTAGCCAAAAAACCTTTGACACCTCTCCTGGTTTCCCAATTTGCCACTATGTCAGACTGTTGTAAGGACAAAGCTTTGGAAATATCTTCAGGTTTAGGGTCTCTTTCCATACCATTTAAAGGTACCTCATAAAGGATAGGCACCCTCAACAGCAGAGTAAACTCCTCCCCAGTAGGCACTAACTGGTAATCCGGGAAAGTGAAGCAGTGATGGAGAGGGTCAAAGAATTGAAAGAGCACTTTTAATATTTCTTCATCAGGGTTTGAAGTGACCAAGTTGAGAAGTCTACCATGTCTTTCTGTGAATGGAGAGCTTTCGGGAACCCTTGATGTCAATTCTTTAAGCTGAGGAGGTACTTTTACCAGACTATTTTGGATAGTGAATCTGCGGGCGAGAGCCATGTCCTACAAAACAAGACAAAAATAAACCCTAAGAATCCTTGAAATGGTTAGCATGACATGCTATGTTATGATGTCATGACTATGCTCAGATATAGTAGATAAGCACTAGCAAATCACATTAAGACCTTGGGTTTAAGGCTTGCATGGGTTTTAAGGTGATACCCTCTTGAAGTTGGATTGGTTCAACCTGTCCTAAATATAGTAACCAGGTTCTAAGGGATCTCAATATCACCAGTCTTTACCCTAATTCTCGTTCTGAAAGACAATTGACTTGCCACCAAACAAAATTCAAGGGTCAAACCTCAATGAGTGTAGTATCGAGTATCAACCGACTTTGGGTTTACACCAAAGACAGCTATCTCACTACGTCCTAAAAGCTAAGTTGGTCAAATAAGGTGCTAAAGTCAGTTAATGCTTTATGACACCACGCGGTGGCCCCGTATTCTCCTTGATTTACTCAAGGGCTACCGGTACACACCAAAGTATCGCATCAATGTAGCTACTGTTTCAACCGTGTCGATATACCCCGCACAGTTCCCTCACAGTTTATTGCTACTTACCTAAGAAAGGTTCCCCAAATCCGGGTGTAGGATTAAAACAAACCCAAACAAGGAACCATAATGTAAAGCATGCAAGTCAAACAAAGAAAGCAAATAAAATGTGATCTATCCCTAAGGTAGCCCCACTTTTATAAATCTCCCCAGCAGAGTCGCCATTTCTGTTGTACGGTGAGAGAATTGACTTGATTGTTTTGCGTTTGATCGCAAATGTTGCAATTAGCAAGAGTCACCACCGACTTTTATTTTATCCAAAAGGAAAGATGAAAAAGCACAGGAAAGACCTTTGAGATTATTTCTTGAGTTCAGGGGGTAGATTATGAAAAGGGAAGGTATTAGCACCCTTTTCATCCATGGTTTTCCATGGGCTCTTAGTTACTTGCTAGATCACTTGCTTTTTGTTTGAAAATGTGCTTTGTGTGGTTTTTGAAAATATTTTTGAAAAGAGGCCATTATTTAGGCAAACTTTGTAATGATTCTCGTTCGTAAGAATGTATACAAAGTGTTGATCTTTTGAAAATGTTTTCAAGTTTGAAAGGTGTTTTGAAAGTGTTGGTGTTTGTTTTAAAAATAGAAAAGGATGTTTTGGTTTTGAAATTGAGCAAGTAACTAGGAACATTCTACCTACTCAAAAGTCTTTCATGTTTATTTCCTCTTTCCTTTGTTATCTTACCATTGATTTGGTAAGTAACCATATCTTTGGATGTAAAAGGGACGGGCGTGGGTCATCGTATAACCATGATTAGCAATGTTGCAAGATATCTTAGCGTTTTTCTTTAGGGATTAAGATCATTTTAAAAAGGCAACATAGATAGCGTCATCGAGGGACTATGATCTTGTATTTTGCTTGTTTTTGCTAAGATACCTCACATGCATAATATGACTATTTTGTAAGGAAACCAAGTGGATTTACCCTAGGGGGTGTTTGTATGCAAGTGTATTGCTTTTCATGCTTGATTTGTATTTGATTAGGGTTTGCTATTTGTTGGTTTTAGTCTTTCCATACAAAACCCTAATAACTAGTATTTGTATATAAAGCGATAAATTGCGGAAATTAATATTACTACGCTATTACATCATTTAGGGGAGGGGGTGTACAAATTACAAATGGGAAATTGAAAGAAATTAAAATCTAAATAAATTATTACAACCATATTGAATTTGAATAATGTAACAATAAAGATAAAATTGCAAGAATATAAAATGTAAGAAGAAATGTGATTTTTGTTTGGTTTTTTTATGAAAATGGTTTTTTTAACCTAATTAATTAAACTAAAATAATTAACTCAAAAAATAAAATTAATATTAAGTTAGTACAATAAATTAATTTAAGGAGAAGTATTTTTTTAGGGTTTTGGTGAATTTAATTAAGTTAGTAAATAAAAATAATTAAATAAAAGATCCTAAATTCTAAATTGATTTTAATTTACAAAATAATATAAATAAAAAAGGTAAATTTAATTATTAAATAAAATGTTTTTGTTCTTTTAGTTTTTATAAAGGAAAATAAAATGTATAAGTATTTTTTAAATATGCAAATAAATAAATAAAATATTTTTGGATTTTTTTTATTAATAAAAATGATAATAATGATAATAATAGTAATAAAAATAATAAAAGAAAAATATGAAATAAAAATAAAATGAAGGAAAAATAAATAAAAATGGAAAATAAAACAATGGGTCAGGTGTGTGAATAACAAGGTAGGGGGTCAAAAGTAGCAAAAAAAGTAAAGCCCAAAAGGGGAAGGCCCAGCGCTGCAAAAAAAGTCAAAAAATGTCAAAAAAATGAAAAAAAGGTCACGCTAGGGCTTGAACCCAAGACCTCATGGTGATAGGCATGCGCTTTAACCAATGGGGTGGTGATACATCCGTTAACTTATGTCAAACTATAAATATATAACATAAATCTTGCCCTAAATATACTTCATCTTCAACCTCCAGTCAGAAGCCCTGCAACTTGTTCATTTCTCAACCATTTGCAAAAATGTAAACATGAAATTGCTCCATTTTTTCATACTAATCCAACCATATAAATATCATGAACTATAAATCAAAGATGAATGAGAATTTTTGAAAATACCAAATTCTGACCTAATTATTTTCAGAGATTCAATCCTAAAATTCTCCTAGCTCAATCAATATAAATGAAATCTACAGACATGTACAGCTTCAGGGCAATGATGTCTACATTTCATCTTCACAAATGGAAGCCTAACAATGCCTAAGTAATGAGATATAAGTTCAAGAAAAATACCTCAACACTGGAAATCGTGAAATGCAAATGAGCTTGATTCAAGGTGCTGAAATGATCAGGTTAGCTT